TGCTTTATTTTTGCATTGGTAGTTAGTTTTGATGTTCATGTATATGCGTACTTTTTGATAAATACGTTGATATTTTTGCTATCACTATCATCATGTACAATGAATCCTTCCTTATTTGTTTGAGTATCGCATATGATTTTTTAATAGCAGTGATTTTTTATAGCTTTTTTAGATAATTAATCAAGAGAAAAAAAAATGTTATACAAAAAAGTTATAAATATCTGACCAGATTCTCGTGAATGCTTAGCGAATTGTTTCGATTGGTCTTTTGTGATGCTCTTTGTTTTTTTTAATAAATACTGCTTAGATGTTTCTTTTTTTTCTGTATATTTCCTTCTCTCTTATTATCATTATTCTCCTTTTCGTTTTGGGATAATAATTAAAAATAAGCACCTTACTCAGTTGTTAACCAAATTGTTTTTGTGAAATTAATAAAAATAAAATAAAATAAAATACAAGACATTTGTTTACCTTTATAATCATAATCAATAAAAAAAAAATGTTGTCTATTTTCATTTCTTATTGTTTTGTTCAAACAGTCAGTGGAAACGTGAACTACTTGACTGGCACTGCGTTGTATAGGATCAATACTACGTCTGATAATTTCAAGCAAATTACTTATAAAGGTTATATAAATAATGTGGACTCTTTGATTACTGAATTTGAAAAAAACTGGATTGTTTTGATGGTGGATCGATATGTATACAAAGAAAATGTAGAATATGTAAATACAATTTACTTTTTTTTTTGTATCTCTTGCTACAATATATTTTATTTACCTTCTGTTGTTTATCTTAAGCTCACGTTGATTCAAAGCATATCTATATTTGTTGAGAATGATAAGCTAATCCATAATGATCTTCTCTATTCAGCTCCTTTGTTATTATATTCTTCTCTTATGGTACCCGATTCTTATATCGATAATGATAGTGGTAGAAAAAGTTTTGAATTGTTTAAAAAGTCTTACAACGGTGTTAATGGTCACAAAAATTTAGATACAAATATGATTGTATCTTACAGTAATGAATACAGGAGTTATAATGCTTTGAAAGATAATTTATCTAAAACTGTTCTTTCAGTTGTAGGGAGATTGAAAATAGGTTCAAAAAAATCTCTCACATCGTTGCGTCAGATATAGAATAGAACTATTTGGATAAAGCTACATCTAATTTGACTAATAATAAAGATGCACTCTCTCAAGATGATTTTAATGATCAATTAAATAATATAGAAGAGAAATATGCAAAAAAAAGAACGGTTTCTAGAAAACAAGTTAGGATTAATCCACTACTGGCTGCTTCTTTCTCTAAAGCCCCAAATGGTGATACTCAATCGTTAAACAATAAGTTTTTAGAAGCCATCTCTCAAATTAAGAATGGAACCTCTATTACACAAATTCCAAATAATAATGAATCTGAATTGATCAAAATTAATATATATTATCCTTAATATTATTTATTTATTTTTTTTTT